TTTCTGACTACCTTGAGAGTCTGGTTTGTAACGTGTATGTTGTTGTCTCTGGTAATCCGCTCTCACCCGTCGGATGTTTATTTTGTCACATGCATATGTGCTTTTTAACGTGTATGGTTATGGCGAGGGGACATGGTTGCAGAAGGAAAGCAGCCCGCTAGTACCCGGGCGGTGACAGAGAATAACTCTGGGGCAAAGTTCTCAAGACAGAAGCCAAACCCCCGTGTGCGTGTGAAAGACACGTGGTATTTGAGCCAGACGCATGTTTCCCAGTCTCTTGGCTACTGGCTAGTGTACTACACCTGCAGGACATGTTGTGCACGTGACGTCGGGCCTGTCATCTGGTGACGAGGTTTTCCTGTTCGTCGGTAATGTTACATCGACGAAACAATGTCCCTGGGTGAAGCTGATCACGTCTCACGATCCTTCTCTTGTTTACAAGCCCTCGGGCCGACCAAATTCATGAGCACGTATAAAAACTGCCTACTTTGTCATTGAATAAAAAGTTATCTTTGATTTTTTTTGTCTGAAATCCTCTCAAAAACGCAGGAAATGCCATTTCAGAGGGTTCACTTTTCAAACTTTTCCGGGGGAGCATGCCCCCGGACCCCCCTAGGAAGGAACCTCGCGCCTACGGCGCTAGCTCGCTAGCCCCCTCAAGCAATGGGAGGAACAGAACCCCCAAGTCAGATCCTGGCTACGGGCATGGCCTTTCGCTCCGAGCGACCGAACTTTTCCGAATTTCGAATATCCGCGACATATCATGTTCGTGACTTCCCGGGTTTCTTGGAATGTGGGAATCACACTTCCCGAAGATACTAGTAACATCGCGACCGAAAACGGGCCATTACTTGGCTAGGTGGACTGAAGTTGTGGTTAATATTGGACGGAGTACTGGGGTTGAGTCATCAAGGTTAGAACTAGCTTAGTGTTTGAGTAATTCTCGATTGGAACTGGAAGGTTTGGGTAACTCTGGACTGGAACTGGTTTTCATAAATTGCTGAATTTGGTGAAAAACTGGGGTGAGACAAACTCCGCATTTATTTTTTGGAACAGCCCATTGTGCTAGCATATGATTTATGAATGCTGCAGGAAGGTCTGATACATTCGGAAACACATCACACACCGTGAGGATGCAGGCATTTACTCTCACTCACTCACTCACGACTCCACCAACAGCCGGGTGTTTTTTTTGTCTCAGACAATCCATTTATACACGAACTGGAAAGCCTTTACAATCCAAATCATAACGTTACATTCTGAAGGCCGATATGTTTCTATACCACACAGTACAGTTTGCACAGGGCATAAGCCGGGCTTCAAGCATTTTGCCCGTACTATTTTATGAATGTGTGACGGCACATTTTCCAACCCAGGGCCCGACCGGGCAGTCGTTTGGAACGAAAATTATGATATAAGAGAGCAAAACAAAAGTTTTAGAAAATTAACCATGAGCACTATTTCTGCTTACAAATTGTTTATTTTTCGTTCACGCAAACAACCCGGCCGGGCCCCGGCTTGGAGATGTGACCGTGCCCTTAACAGGCGACCACAGTGAACAGAAATTTCTCGTCCTTCCAGTCTGCAGGAATCGCCTTGGAATGGAATCTGGCGCCATACCTGATGACAGCATCACGGCATCTTCTTCCCGGGCATCTTACGAGCCCTACCGCGGTCGGTTGAGCGGAGTTGCTGGTGCGGGCGGTTGGGTACCCAGAACCAACACCATCGGGGAATGGTTACAGGTTGGTAGACATTTTGGTGCATTAAAACAACCACGATTCTACCTTTTACTTCCGGAATGGACGTATTATTTTAGGTGTCGACAATTTATGTTAGCGCTATATGTGTATATTTGACTTCCATCTAGTGAGTAGGTGGAGTTTGGATTTTGAGTTTGATTGACAGGGGTATGAGTCCGTATGAACGGGTGTGCAATGCATACGATCGCCAGAAATGTATGGAAACCATTGTTTAATAATGCAATAAGTTCCTTCATACAATCGTATGGGTAATACTACATTTGATGATGTGTTTTTCATTAGCACAAACTATATCGTAGACTGTATACTTTAATCATATTATTGAAATCCCAAATTTTTTGGTTGGATTATTGCGCCACACACGATCAATTTCGCTGTTTCTTTAAGTGATAAGTTCGAATTCCCTTATCCGAACAGCATCATATGTTGATGTCTTCGAATCTGTTGTGTTTAGAATGTGCATGTCAACGCTTTGTTGCACTGACAGTACCTTGCTGTGCCCAATGTGGGCTAATTTTAGCTAGTAGTTCACGCTATCCAGATATGTAGTTAGTTTCCCGGCTTGTACTTCACGTGCATTCTATAACGAAGGACATCTATTCATTCAGGTGGATTTAGGAGAAATGAAGACCGTCACAGGCACCATCATCCAGGGTCGCTCCAGTCAAGACCAGTGGGTTACCTCCTACAAACTACAGTACAGTGAAGATGGCGTTAGTCGGACCACGTATGCAAGTAGCGATGGCACCGAAAAGGTAGGTTATATGCAAAGATTCATACCAAAGTAGCATACCAAATATCATCACAATCCATAAAGGCGTTATGACGTTATGCTGACTACAAATGTGCGCAAACACACACACAGACACGCCAAAAACAATACCTCCATTTTTACCCCCATGAAAAAATTGAGGTATTGTTTATTGAGTTTTAATGAGGTATTGTTTTGGGCGTGTCTGTCTGTGTGTTTGTGTTTCCGCACATTTGTAGTCAGCATAACTAGGGAACGCCTTTATGGATTACGATAATATTTGGTACGTTGGTAGGTCTTAGGAAGAAAAAGGTTACGGTAAAATATTGGCCTCCTGGTGGCTGACCTTTGTACTGCAGCAAAACTTCCGGTTTTTGTACCTTTTGTCCTGAACATGTCTTGAATTTTTCGTGACAGATAGCTTTTCCTGTCAGAAATAAGTGGTATAAGTTTTGTCTCCCTAGCAGCTTGTTCTGGAACTGTAGGTTAGTTTCTGGTAAAAACTTCACAAGCAGATAAGACAAGAAAGCAACAATGTAGTTTCATCATTTTTGGTGCAAAGGTAGCTTATAGAGAGATGTACATAATGAAAACCATGCAAATGAAGGCTAAATTTGCATAATTAAGTAGGAAATTCTGCACTTACAGTGTTTACATGATAGTACTTTGATACATGTGATGTATGTAATCTATGGCAGGCGAAACATCAACAGATACCAATTATGAAAATAATAGCCTAACTTGCATAATAAATGTGAACATTTTGTAATTTATTAATGGCGAATGATGGGAATTTTATACCTTGTGACAAGTTTTTTAAAGGTTAACATCATTATGCATATATAATGTTAAATGTAGAAGTCATTTGCATAATTAATGAGGACATGTTGAAATGAAAAATTGCCAAAGGATAGGAATTCCTCACGCAAAATATTGTAATTTGAATAAAAACCATAGATTAAACTGTTAATTACGACGTTACTTCCAGATACAACAAGAGTTCTGAGATCTCATACCTCCATGAAATATGGACTTGATATGTAAATGTAAATTTCTTCTTTAATTATGCAAATGACCTCTGCATTAACATAATATATGCATCGTGGTGTATGTTAACTTTTGATTAACCTACAGATGTCCCAAGTATGATATTCCAATCATTCACCATTAAGAAATCATTCTCGCATCAATTATGTAAATTAGGTCATCATTTGCGTAATTAGTATCTGTTGATGTTCCGCCAGCCATAGGTTACATACATTACATGTAGGAAAGTAGTAAAATGTAAAACACTGTAATTATAGAATTTTCTCATTAATTATGCAAAAAAAGTCCTTATACGCATAATTTGCATCTAATTATGTACATCTCTCTCTAAGCTACATATACACCAAAAATGATGAAAATGACTTATTGGCTTTTAAACATTTCGCCAGAAAGTGTCCTGCAGTTCCAGAACAAGCTGCTAGGGTGACCAAACTCACACCACTTATCCCTGACAGGAAAAGCTATCTGTCACCAAAACATCAAGACCATAGCATGTTCAGGACAAAAGATATATTAAAGCCGGAAGTTCTGCTGCAGTACCAAGGTCATCCACCAGGAGGCCCGTATTTGACCTTGACCTTTTTTTTCAATCTTTCTTTATTGAATTTTCCAAAATAAATTAACGGTAACAAAATATGGCATGGCATTGTGCAAAAAGGAATACATAGTGAACCACAAAAACAAAACGTAAAATCCAGGTACAATAGTGTTGTGCAAATTTTACAGATAAACCCTGTTGCCCCTAATTACATGGTTTAAAATTACAAATGGGATTTTTTAAAACTCTTTTAGATATTTATTTAACAACTTTTTATCTATTCTGAAAAAAAATGTATTTAATTTTCCCCATTTCCCCCTGTGTTTTAATAGTTTGTGTTGCCTATACGCAATGTTTAATTCTAGTCTATAAAAGTAAGAAACATAAGATATAAATGCAGATAAACTTAAGGAATACTTACGATTTTTAAAAATAAACATTTTACCCAGGAGTACTATAACATTGGAGAGAACCGGGCATCGATCAGTCAGGTTACCAAAAATTATATTGCGTTGATTTGTAAATGAGTACCAGTGATGTTGAAGAACCAGTCGTCCACCTGACTCCAAAAATATGCAGATATTCGACAATTCCAAAATAGGTGGACGATTGATTCCTCTTCCTCTTTACATAGACTGCAAATTGGTGAGTCTATTAACCCCCATAAAAATAATGTTCTATTACAAGTTAAAAATTTGAACAGCAGTTTGTATTGGAACATACGTACCGTGGCCGACAAGGACAGACCTGCGTCGTCTGCGCGCACACCTGCGTCGCCTGCACGTATACCTGCGTCATCTCTGCAAAGAGCTTCCCCGTCTGCGCACGAATACCTGCGTCGTGTCTGCCAAAGAGCTTCCTCACGCCTGCACAGAAAGAGCTTCCTCGTCTGCGCACGAATACCTGCGTCGTGCCTGCCAAGAGCTTCCTCACGCCTGCACAGAAAGAGATTCCTCGGCGACCTCGCTGCGCGCAACGAAAGCTCGCTGCACGGAAGAATACGTGTCACCCCTGCCTTGTTGAAGAATGGACGGTCCCCTATTATAGGTCAAGGGTCACACCACCTAAAACAATTTGATTCCCGTCTTTTTCTGGGGTTTTTGTTGTGTCTGTCCCGTACGTAATAAAATCACTTTTATTTTTATTCATTCATAAAAGATACCCTATCAACGTGTTTAAAATCATGAGGGAGCAGAATCAGTTTAATGGCGAGGGCGAGTGACCAACGCAAAGCCTTTGAGAATTTGACTCGGGTTGAAATGGGACATTCTGAGGCTACTTGAGGGGGGAAATGTGTTAGCAGGCACGATTCCCCAGTGCATGTTGGATTGTTGGGGTGGCAATAGGTTGATAGGGAACACTATATTGGGTGTACCATTCCTATAGAGGTACCGGTCTTTGCCCTTGCATCTTTACTCCCTTGCACTATTTATCAATTGCAGTATAATAGAATTGTTCATGATTACTTTAGTTTAGTAAACACGTCACTATTGCAATAAATGATTTTAAACACGTTGAATAAAAATAAAAGTGATTTTATTACGGGACAGACACAACAAAATCCCAGAAAAAGACGGGAATAAAATTGTTTTAGGTGGTGTGACCCTTGACCTGTAATAGGGGACCGTCCATTCTTCAACAAGGCAGGGGTGACACGTATTCTTCCGTGCAGCGAGCTTTCGTTGCGCGCAGCGAGGTCGCCGAGGAATCTCTTTCTGTGCAGGCGTGAGGAAGCTCTTGGCAGGCACGACGCAGGTATTCGTGCGCAGACGAGGAATCTCTTTCTGTGCAGGCGTGAGGAAGCTCTTGGCAGACACGACGCAGGTATTCGTGCGAAGACGAGGAAGCTCTTTGCAGAGATGACACAGGTATACGCGCAGTCGACGCAGGTGTGCGCGCAGACGACGCAGGTGTGTCCTTGTCGGCCACGGTACATACGAGTGTTTGAGCCAATAGAAGTTTATACGGCAAACTATACACTTTGTGCCAAGGTAAAGGGGTATCAAAATATTCCTCCCACGAAAATTTAATTTTGTCAGACGAGTCCCATAAACTGGCTTCGTTCATAAAAAATGAATACAGATCTTTATTAATATTTCCCTTACGTAGCCAGCTTATGTTTCTACAGACTGGAAGACAAACACCCAGGTTTGGAGATGTCTGTTTTAACGTGGTTTTCCAACAAGAAGGAATTGCAGAAATAAGTTGATTATACTTAAATTCGGAACAGGCTTCCCCAAATTTTTGAGTCAGATCATCAAACCTATTTTGTAAGTCTAGAATGTCATTTACAAACACTACTCCTCTACTAAACATTACCTGTGAAAAGAAAGGTTTTCCATCGATTGTAATATTTGAATTT